GTCGCTTTGCGCTCTGTCTGTCCTGCCGCTCCCCGCAGCCCCTCCAGTCGCACCCCGCAGCCCAGCGCGGCATCCCGGCCCTAAGAGCGCCCACACTCGCCGGGAACTACAGGCTACATTCCCTCCTTACCGGCCGCGCCGCGGACACGGGCTGGCGGGCTCACCCCGGGCTCCTTGCTCCCAGGCGCCTCCTGCCCTGGGCCTCGAATCTCACCTCCAACTCACCCCGTCTGGCTTATTTCCACCTGCCCCCTTCAGGAGCCTTTCCTGACGCCAGGACCCACCTCCGTCCCCGCCCAGCAGCAGCCTGGGACCTGTCCCTCTGGAAGGTGTGGGCAGGCAGGTGCTCTGGGTCGTACCACCAGCCCCAGCTACTCTGAGGAGACCGAGGAGGGCACGAGGCGTTCACAGGCCTTGTCTGCAGACCTCCAGGGGAGAGGCCAGACCACAGAGGGTGGAAAGGCAGAGGGCATAGTCACCAGCAAACAGGGCCAGGCCACTCTCTGCCGCAGCCAGACTCAGCCCTGCAAGTTGCTGGACAGCACGCCCACCATCCCCTCCTCTACACCCTGGGCTTTCGAAAGCCTCGCCCAAGCCACTTCCCCAACGGCCTCTGGGAGCTATGGTTCCTGGTCATCAAGACTGCCAGAAGCCTGTCTCAATCCCAGAAGAGACAACAGTGGCAAACAGCCTATTAAGGTCACCAAAAGCTTCTACTATGAGCAGACAGTAGCCTGAGAGTGCTGCCCCCTGACGCTGAGCTGCAGCCAGACCCTCCACTTCCCAGAGCCTGGCACTGCCCGGGAGGCTGGCAGGTCTGTCTGTGAAGGCCTTTTCCCAGGAGAGAGTCTGAGTGCCCACCAGCAGCCTTCAAGGAGTGCTTAACTCTGTCGGCACCCCTCCAGGGACTGGAGGAGCCAGACACAAGCATGCCCTGAGGCCAGAGCCAGTTTACTCTGAACACAGTTCTCTCAGCGTGAGCTCCAGTGAGGGACCAGCTCCAGATAGCAGGACACTAACCAGTGTCCTTTCAACATGCCTTACCTTTTCAGGCCCTGCCTCTAGCTGCTGCCTCTGCTCCAGACAGATCTGCCCCACGCGGGCCAACAGGTCATGAGGGGGCATGAAGACCCGGGAGCTCAGGAGAAATGTGAAGATGTATGTCCTCTGAAGATGGGAGACAGGAAGAGAAGCAAAGCGCCGATCAGGTGGGCCCACATCGTTGCTTCACCTGGCCCAGGTGCCCCCAGGCTCAAACCCCTGTCTGGTGGACATGCCTTCACCTACACGGTTCCCTTCATCTTTCAGGGCTTCCTTCTCTTACTGCTACCTTATTCTGCCCGCTTTGGAGGCACAGCCCAAGCCCCTCCCAGTAGCTCTCTACCTGCTCCTAGCAGTCTTGCTCTGCTGGGATTCTCCAGCATCCTCTGCCTCACTCCACGATGGAGGCTAAACCCAGTCTTGGACATTGGTGGGGCCCTCCAGGTCTGTTGCTCAGCCCATGGTGTTTCCCACCAGGCTCCAGGCCAGCTGCATCTCCAGATCCTCGAAGGCTGCACCAGAGGTCAGGGAACAGGACCTGGTGGGTGGAGTGTGCCTGCTTGGTGGGTGTGGCCTCATCAGCATGGGCATGGCCCTGGGGGCAGAGCTGATCAGTGGAAGGGGGCCTAGTCAGTGAAGAGGGGCCCTGCTAGTAGGGGTACAGCTTGATAGGTGGTGGAACTTGTAGTCAGGGACTAGGCCTGGTGGGGACCATGCACTATCTCTGACCAGCTGTGGGCCTTGACCACAGCTGTCACACCAGGGCCCCCACCATGCACCCTTGGACATACTATGGACATACTGTGTCCATGCACCCTTGTCACCAAGATCCTCATGGTCTGGATTGAAAGGCAGTAGGGAGAACCCATGGCAGAGGGTGCTCAGGCCTTTTGTCTCATGTGGGTTACTGTCTAGAATCTCACCTCCCACTCACCCCATCTGGCTCATTTCCCTCTTTCAGGAGCCTTGACTAATGCCAGGGCCCATCTTCATATGGCCTCTGCCAGTGGACAGGGTGGGCTTGAGGCTGGGGCAAACTTCTCGGGGCTCTTGTAAGGGACTCTACTCCATTGAGACCTTGCTCCACCCTACATGGCTGCTGCAGACTGGGCAGCCCAGGATCCTCTGCCCCACTCTCAGCCTAAAGAGCCAGTTTTCCTTGCTCCAGCCTGGAGCAAGCAGGACTGTGTTTGCTAACAGCACAGGTCTCTAGGAGCAGGACTCGGAGCCCTGGGCCCTCACTATCTCCTGCAGCCCTCTGTGCGGGGAGCAAGGCTGCTGGGGGGCAGCCCTCCTGGAGCATCAGGCTTTCTCTAACCTCCCATATACTGTCCATGATCCCAAGCTGTGCAGCATAGGCGTTCAGATCACCAGCAGGTGGGACCCTCAAGATCCCCCTTCCAAGCAGGAGACTCAGACGAGGCCCACAGGGGTCACACTACAGAGCTCTTAGCCAAAGGCAGAAGCACCTAAGGAAGAAGGCCACGCATCTCCAAGGAGGAACATGGAGACGTTGGTTTGTGTGTGTGTGCGTGCACGCGTGTGTGTGTGTGTGCACGCGTGTGTGCACGCGTGCGCGCCTATGCCAGCTACCCATGCACATAAGGTGGTAGCAGTTAGGGAAGGGCCAGGGGCAGGGACCCAGTAGCTTGCCAGAGGAGCTGTCCCCTGCCCCTGCCATCCTTCTGTTCTCTCCTGGGAAGCAGGTCAGGATCCTAGGGCACAGTTCTGGGGACTACACTGGGTGACAGTCAGCCAAGGGACCTCCTCTGGGGTTGGCCTCTCAGAGGAGCTGCTCCTCCTGGGGCTACACAAGGCTGCTGTCCCACAGGTTGGCACTAGGGTTAGCAGCCCACAGCCCTGCCCTAGGCTTCTTCAGGGCCTTGGGTCCCTGCCCCTGGCTCTATCCCCTGGGCACTCAGCAGCCTGGCACCAGCACCAGCCCTGCCAAGCCCTGATGAAGCTTATGGGATGGATGGAAGGACAGATGGAGGAGTGGCCAACACTATAAGTCCTTCCCAAGCCTGGGAGGGTGGAGGAGCCCTGACAGGTGGAGAAGCAGAACTGACTCCAGTCCCATTAAGTAGAAGCCGAAGGGAAACAATTCCTCCTGCCCACCCTCCCTTTCAGGCTGGGTCTGACTCCCAAGGCCAACAAGCAGGACTGTCCTGAGGAGGGAGAGAGGGCAGCACAGCATGGGTTGGACGGACTCTCCCAGAGGAAGGATGCTCAGCTCACAAAAGGGAGTAGGCAGGCTGCAGTGCCACTGTTGCTAAGAGACATCAGCCTCAGAGGTGGAAGGGAAGCCACATTTGACAAGGAAACGCTTTCTCTGTTCCAAGAACGTACAATGCTATCTTGAGATGAAGAGGGAGGATGTGAGTTGTTGCTGGAAAACAGTCCAGGCGTGGGCCTGCTCCTTCCTACCCTGGCTTCTGCGTATGGATGGGACAGGTGGGATGGGACAGGGCCTGGCCATCCACTCTTAATTCTTGACCACTGGCGTCCTTGTACAAAACAAGTTTCCCAGCTCAGCCATAGGCTCCAGGACTCCAGCCCAGCATGCCCTCTTCAGGACCCCAAGTACTGGCCTTGTCTTTTAAACTCCTCTTCTTCCCCCAAGTCCCTGCCTAAAACTCAGGCCCCTTCTCAGCCCTCTGTGCATCTCTGCTTCCTGTGCCTCCAGGGCCATCTCCATCTGCTTGGGGCAGCAGTAGGGAAGTCATGGCAAGTTCCCCAGTCAGCTGCGTGTGTGTGTGTGTGTGTGTGTGTGTGTGTGTGTGTGTGTGTGTGTGTGTTTGCAGAGCAGAAGGCCCCCCCACTGTCCCTTCCCACTACTCCATCCAGCTCTGAAGCTCTGTCTGGCCCCCTTACCCATCCCAGAAGCAGCCTCCCCTGGAGCCCAGGTTGCCCCCACCAGACGTACCTCCACTGCCCTCCCACACCCCGCCAGGCTCCAGGCACTCACATCAGGATAATAATCCACTGTGGGGACCAGGTGCTCCATCAAGGCCTCCAGGGACCCAGAGACGAGGCGTCCATCTTGAAAGATGAGATCCCCTGAGCCCCCACTGGCCCCACCTCCCCGTTCCCCCATGCCGGGCTGCACCTGTCCGCTACAGCTGGGCCCGAGGATGCTGGAGAAGACGACAGACGTCTGGGGCATAGTTTCCTGAAAGAGAAGAATGAGGCCATGAGACATCAAAGGCACCCCCACAAGGCCCTCTTCCCAGGCAGCCTGCAGCCTGTATGTGCAGGTGTGCATGGTAGGAAACCCAGCAGCACCACTGGAAGGGCACCCCCATCCGAGGGAGGGGTTGGGCAGCTGCCATACATCTGATCCATGTTTCTTCGGCACCTGTTCTGGCATGCCAGGCCTCATTCCAGGGGTCTGGACACACAGAGCCTGCCTCCTGGGGTTACATCCGGAAGGAGAAGAGAAACTATGGAGAAAACGCTGCGGGGAGGTATAAGGAGCATGTGGTGGGTAGTCAAGGCAGGCTACAGTGAGGTTACATGTGAGTAACTGATGGTGTTAACTCTGCAGCTCCAAGGGATAAGAAGGAACGTTCTAGGCATGAGGAACAGTGAGTGCCAAGGTCCTGGCCCAGTATGTGGGTAGGGGGTGAGCAGGGAGTGTGGTCTGAGGACTCACAGCCTGTCACACGTGCTTCTCTGAGTGAGACAGGAGCCAGAGCTCTGAGCACAGGGACCAAACTGCAGAGGCTGTGGTGTGGAGACCCTAGAGATCCCACAAGGGAGACATCTGGAAGCCAACTGGTGGGTTTTGCCATAGTCCAGGGAGAGAATGCTGGGTCAGGTGGTAACAGAGGAGGAAGGGAGCAGGGCTGATGCCATACTTTGAAGTCTCAGGCTGAGTGATTGACCAGCACAAGGCAGGACATGGAAGCAGGGCTTGGGGAAAAATCTGGAACTTGCCTAAGAACTTGTGGAATCTGAACACCCCTGAGATCTGGATGTCTGCGTAGCTGAGTAACATCCTAGCAGGTTTGGTGCTCACCCTAGAGCTGTCCACTGTGGCACAGCGTGCCATGACAGAGCTCAGGGTTCCCACCTCACCCTGCAGCTTTGAGCTCTCATGAGCCTCAGTTTCCCCACTGCCCCAGACAGTCAGCTATGCCTGGAGAAGAGCCAAGTGGAGATCAGAGCAATGTAGCATTTGCTAGCCCAGGGCCTCTGAAGCTCATGCCTGGGAGGCAGGTGTGGCCTGCCCCATAGCCTTGCCTGGCACACATGGCCGGTCTCACTTCCTCCTTCCCTCAGAGAGTAGGCAGACACAGGGCACAGGCGACAGAGGCCAGGTGGAGGAGCTTGGCCCTCTTGCCACAGCAGGGGCCACAGTCAGCCTCTAGTGCACCAGCCACCCCTCTATTGTCACTGGCGAGCGGATGCACTGCTCCAGCACTGGCTTCCCCAGGAGCAGGCTCAAAGCCACACTGCCCTCCCCATTCTAGGGAGGTGGGGGGCTGCTTCCTGGTGCCAAGGGGGACATTATCCAGAAAACAGCAGAAGGTCCCCCATACCCTTCTTGAGCTCTATGGCCCCCTGCACAGGCCATGAGTGCTCAGCATTGGCCTTGTGGACAGAGCAAGCCTATTATGAGCTATTCTGGTCTCAGTTTCCCCACTATGCAGAGCAAATGGTAACCATGATTGCTTCACTGCCATGGGAGGACTATGGACTGGGGCCTTACAAGCAGAGAGCTGCCCCCCTCCCCGATGCCATAGCACATCACTGCACCTCAGAGAGGGGAGAAAAATGCTGGTTTCCCCACCACACACCTGAAGATTTCCTTGGAATTCTTAGACTATCCTTTGCAGTGAAGACAAGAAGTCAAGGAAAGTCCTGGTGTCCAGGCCCCTAGGCTCAGTACTGCCCCACTCCAAAGGTGGGAAGTCATGGTTCAGACTCAGAACACTCCCCTCAAAGTTAGGCCAGCATAGTAGTGGTGCCTCCCATGAGTTAGAATGCACACTCTCAAGCCCTGGACCTGCTGGTCAGAAACTCAGGGGTGGGCAGTGTCTGTGCTCCAATAAGCCCTCCAGAGGTTTCTGCCACCATTCAAGCCTGAGAACCACTGACATGAGCAAACCTCAACCCAAGCTCCTGGGGTTATCAAACATGGCATTTTCCATGCTCTTGCCAGGAGGTTCATCAGGACAGCACATCTAACACCCCACGAACTCACACAGCCTCTGCTGATCCCCCATAGGGCAAGGCCACCCCAAATCCAGCCTACAGAAAGACCTGCCTCAGTGCTCAGGAGGCCTGCCTGGTCACATGACTCTGGCAAGCCAAGTGGGGAGGGCCACCTTTGAGGACAGGGACCTAGAGGGGGGGCCGGCCGGGGCGTTTGAGGCAAGCAGAGATTCAGCAAGAGCCAAGAACCCCCTCGGGAAACCAGCAGTGCCAGCAGGGGCCACGTGGAGCCACCCCAGCCTGAGAAGGAGTGGCACCCCGAGGTCTTCCCCTCCTACCTACCCTGAGACCCACCGGAGGACACTGCCCAGAGTCAGGTCTTCCCCAGCCCAAACATCACTCCTCTTCCCCCACTCCCCACAAAGCCTTTGCAGGTCCTGGGGATGCCCCCGGAGCCTCATCCTCCCTGCTAGCCTCAGTCCCTAGCAGGGTCCTCCCGGAGTTGCAAGGAGGGTCTCCAGGGTTCTGTGCCAAGTGGGAGAGACAGGTTCCCCACGTGGCTCCTCCTGGACAGGAATGAAGAACACCCTCAGTCCTTTCTGTTCTTGCACCTAGGGCCTCCTCCTCCATCCCAGCAGGAGCAGGAACTGTGACGTGTGGTCACACACCTCTGTGTCCATCCCTCCTAGTGGCCCCTTCTTGGGGAAGAGGCCACTCATAGCAGAGCACCAAGAACTCTGAGCTCCGGTCTTGGGAGGTAACACACAGCAATAGTGGCTCATAACCCAACAGTTAAGATGCTGAGTACTTAGTACATTAAGGGCTACAGTTGAATAATCTCATTTACTCCTCACAGTTACCACTCTACCCCTCACCACCCACCAGAGAAGCCGTTGTTCTCCACTTGCTGTAGATAAGAACAAGGCCCAGAGGGCTAAGCAATTGCCCCAGGTCACAGCCAGGTGGCAGCAGTGCCAAGATTCAAGCCCAGCTACGAGCAAAGACAGGCAGAGAAGCCTGAGCCTAGCTCGACCACTTGTGATGGCCTTGTCAGGATCTTCAACTTCTCGGAGCCTTAATTTCCTCATCTATAAAATGGGTACAAGGAGTGAAACTTCAGAGGTTTGAGGAGAGGATCAAATGAGCCCCTTGTGTGAGGTGCCAGGCACTGGATGCGTTATTACCACCCATGAGATGATTCCTACCGGCGCCTGATTACTTAGAGCCCCCTGCAGGCCACGAGAATGTTCAGGGTGTGAGGTGTCGACACACTGGCACCAAAGGCCGCAGGGAGTCAGACCCTGCACCGACGCTCTAAAGCTAGGTGTGGTCCCCAGAACAGCAGCAACAGCACCTTCTCCTGATCAGAAACTGTGGTGGAAGTGGGCACAGCGCTCCCTCTCCAGGTGGCTCAGCCGCACGCCTGAGTTCTAGACCCTCTCCTTTATAAGCTTAGCTGTTCCAAGTGTGAATCTAGTCAATTGTTAAATGCAGGATCTCGGGTTCCAGGCCAGGCTCGCTGGGTCAAATCTGCATCTAAGACATGCAGCTGGTGCGCGCACAGGTGGCAGAAGTCTGAGGAAGACTGCCCCTCTGCGAATTACAGTCCCCAGGGGAGTTGCAACAGCTAAACCAGGTCTGTGCCCTCCACTGTGGGAGCCGGAAGCACAGGGAGCCTCTCTGTCTCCTGCCTCAGCTGCTCCTGGCTGCATTCAGACCCACTTCAAGGCTGCAGACACTCTGTGGAGAGTTCAGGAAACCCCTTGGAGTTAGGCAGAGCCGGGGATGGAGAGGCCAGCTTTCCCAACCAGTGTCTCTGGGACTCTCACCTCTGCCCCAAGTCCAGCTGGGGCTGGTCTGGACAAAGCAGCAGCCCTTTGTGGGGTGTGGGGGAACAGGCTTGCACCCAGCTGGCCTCCTCTCCAACTCCTTGCAGCTTCTCTGTTCAAGCAGGAAGGCAAGCACCTTCTAATTATAGACCTAATCAACTCAGAAAAAACATGCTCACAGTGAGGCGGGTGAAAGTGACTCACAATCTCCTTGAGGATGAGCCTCACCACGTTCTTGCCTCCCACGCAGGGCCAGTGGGTGCAAAGGCAGGCCCAGAGGCCCAGCCTGCCAGTGAGAGGGAAGGACGCCCTCATCTCAGGAGAGAGCCCATTTCCATACTTGGGTTTACTGGGACCTCTGGGGGTGCTATCGAGGAAGTGGGTTCTCCCTGTATCTGAGCCCATGTCTTCCTGGCTGAGCTCAGAAGCCACAGCCCTGCCCTGCACAGCCAGAGCAGCACTGTGGGAAGCCCGGGGGTGGGGTCGTTGGGGAGGGTTGCTTGGCAGAGGCCAAGCCAAGAGGTTCTTTGCCCCTGTTAGCCTGGATGAGCTGCAACCAGCAACAAACTGACCAGAGGGGAGGTGGGCAGAGCAGCAAGGTGTGGTGTAGGCGTTTCTTGTGGCAGCCCTGTTGCCCTCTCCCCAGGAACCCCAACCCCTCTGCCTGACTTCGGCTGCCCCAGCCCTCCAGGTTTAGCTCCCAAGGTGCCCCACTGGCCTCTCTGCTGTCATTCCCCGGAGCATAAAGTGGCTCACGGGAGTCCCACAGCTGTCGCTCCATGGACCAGTGCTAGTGATACTGCCCTGGGAAGCTCCAAGCAGCTACAGCCTCCAGCCTCTTGCGCCCATGTCTGCACCCCCACACACTCGAGTCTTGTCCTAATGGTTGCAGGTCCTAGGCCAGAGACTACAGTGGAGTCAAGTCAGTAGACACATCTCTATCTCCACATCAGTGGGGAAGCCTCTGCGCTGCTCTGAGCCTGTTTTCTCAGTTGTAAATTCGGTGTAGAATTTCTTGTCACCTCCCTGCAGGGCTGTGGTGAGGGTTCAGTGAGGAGGTAGAAGATGATGTGGTTGTGTACCTGGAGCAGTACCAGATGTGGTTATATGCCACCCACATCTGTGCCTTGCTTCGATGATGCCCGAGTGACCAGTTACAGCTGTCACAGCTTCTGACCTTTGGCTTCTGACC